AAAACGACAAATCTCTCTTTGTGTGCGAACAAATGTAATTTTTTTTTTCTCAAATAAATTAATTTTCTTCATGCTACATCTGACAATTTGAATTTTTTTTTTTAATTTTTTATTAAACCTCCCATGTAGAATTTTGCGCTTTCACGAATGATTTTGCTTTGAAGCATCTAAAAATTTGGTTAAGATACAGACTTGTAAATAATTTGATTGAAATCTCAAACTGAGGCCGCTAGAATGTTGAAACTTTTTACATTGCTTATTCATAGACGAGGTTTCTACGTAATTACTTAAGTCAAATATTATTATACGATCACTCATCAATTAAGATTAATTTCAATCTCGATTCTCAACGTACTCTTTCATCTTTTTTTAATTCTGAGAATTATCGATTCTCATAAACAGTAAGTTGAAAACGAGATTGAAGTTAATCACCTTACTAAATTAATTTAGTCAAATGGACAGTTTTTTTTTTCTTCTTATTATATTGTCGGCGGATATATATGCGCAAAAAAATATTACCGAAGCGCACGAATAACGTAAGGTGGAATAGACTGAAAACAAATAAAAACGCGCTCATGAGAGATGCGTGCGGCGCGATATGAGAGGGAAAAAAAAAAAGAGGAATGGAGGCACAGTGAGATCGAGGGATTAAGGACCCTCTCCCCCAGGCTTTTTTTTTTTTCCAACCCGCGCGTTTCGTGCGGAGCGTTTTACGAGACTAATGATCTGGACGGCCACGCGACGTGTCACGCGTCTCCCCCTGGAACGGCATTGTCGTACTTTTTCATCGCACATTGCAGAGCTCCGGACAGCTCGCGTTTCAGCGGGGGGGGACCGCGGGTGCCTTATAAAGGGTGGGCCATCTATTGGTACGTTTTTGAATATATTTTGAATAATTGGGGTGACCGAATGGCATACTGTAAGGCCAGTAGAGGGAGCCACATGAACGAAATCGTTTTTCATTCTTGACGCGGATACTTTTAGCTTCACAACAAAAAAAAAATTAATAAAAAATATCAATGTATGCTCATTTGATCGCATTTTTAAAAACGTACCAATAGATGGCCCACCCTGTAC